TGTCTGCTCATGTTCAGCTTCTCATGTCCCATCTTCAGCATCTCCTCCCTTTTTGGATGTGGGTTGTGAATACTTAAACCTTTGTTTTGCAGAAATTTAGGGATGCTACCTGTGTGCTGTAGAATGTCTCCTTTAGGAGGCACTGGCATAGCAGAGACACAAATGTGTACAATCCGAGTTTTCTCTCTTGTCTCCCTCTTTAAGATTCTCCCTGGATCGTATTAAATGCTGTTCTGTGTCTCTTACTGGTTACGTATTTTACTTCAGTGATAGAAGTTTGTTTCTGTTTCTTGTTGCTGGTAGCATGGTGTTCTTGTTTGATTTTTCAAAGGTGAAGGAGCATTGTCAAATCATAGAATCACAGAATGGTTTGGGTTGGAAGGGACCTTCAAGATGATCTAGTTCCAACCCCCCTGCCATCAGCAGGGATACATTATATTTATATAAATTACATTTATAAATATATGTTATCTTTTCATATTTCAGGATTCAAGTACCAACAGTGTTATCTCAGAAATCAGTAATAAAATTGACACTGAAATAGCTTCCTTGAAAACGCTCATGGAATCGAATAAACTCGATACGATACGTTATTTGGCAGGTATGTGGTAGGCAAGGAGGTGAGTACAGTATTGTGGGTTTGGATGTGTAAAATTTTATTCAAGAATATGCAAAGCAAATTCAATAAGTCAGTTGTGCAGGAGCAGATAACTGGGACTGGAGGGGATGGGACTGTCCCCAGTTGAAAGAAATGTGACAGAGAAGACAGAAGAGGTGGGAACCTGCAGACACAGCTGCAGTGGGATTGTGAGGTGGGAACCTGCAGACACAGCTGCAGTGGGACTGTGAGGTGGGAACCTGCAGACACAGCTGCAGTGGGACTGTGAGGTGGGAACATGCAGACACAGCTGCAGTGGGACTGTGCCCAGAACAGGGATTAGGAGAAGAACATGGATGTGATTTTGTTAAGAGTAGGAAAGAAGCCTGAATACCTTGTCTAGTCTGACAGTACCTCTGCTTGCTGCAGGGCAGCCATTTATGCAACAGAGTTGCTCCAACAGTTCTCCTGAGCTTATTTAAGTTACCCTGAAAGTGAGGTGACCTTCAGGACTAGTCTGAGAGTGACCAGCTCTGCCTCCCATTCAGTCCTCCAGAGACACTAAGTTTCAGGGTGGCACTACTGGGTCATTCCCCTGCCAAGCAGAACAAATTTCAGTCTGATTTGGGAATATCTTCTCAATATATATGTAACCAGTGACATTTTTATTGTATCAGAGCTGGATAAAAAGGGAGTAACACATTACATGTGGACGTGAGAACAAGTTCCAAGGGAAACTTAATTAGCTTTATTCTAACACAGCAACTTAACAAATCTGAAAGACAACTCATCAGGCTGCCTAGAGAGCTTAGTGTTGTGTCAGATGTGTCTTGTTAATTCATTGGCATTTTGTTCGGTAGGAAATCATTTTAATTACCTCTAATGCAAGACCTGGTAGAGCCATCTCTCCTGTCACACAGTTTTCAATAGAGGGATGACCATGGTAGAAGTCACTGGAGCCCCCTGCAGTTAGATGTGTCTCCAGGCTGCTGAATTTGGCCTGCTGTCCCACCCCCTGGGCAGTGCTGCTCTGCAGGATATTACATCCAAGACAAGTTATTGTCTTCTAAAATTATTCAATCACACCTGCAGCGATTCAGGACGTTTAGGAGGCTCTGCTCTGCTGCTGTTACCATTCTTCCATCTGTTTGCAGTTAATTTCCTGTATGTGGAAGGTGATACAATTTAGCATTCAGCTAATTTTCTTCTTTTTTTTTTTTCCTTTTTCTTTTTTTTTCATATATTTTTTTAACAGCTTCAGTGTTCACTTGCTTAGCAATAGCACTGGGATTTTACCGGTTCTGGAAATAGATGGAAATGGAATGACTGCATCAAATAAAGATGGAGAAAAGGCCACCCAGGCAACATCAGTTAGACGATCATGTTTGCACTGTAGATAACCTTGGTACCTTTTTGTTTTGCTATTCTTCCTGTGCACTAAAAATTCTTTCTGGATATGTACCACTAAAGATGAAAATAACTGGGGGGAAGCAGGCAAGTAGGAATATTTCATTGTCCCCTATTGAATACTCTATTTATTTCAAAGGACAACTTGTGCTAAATCAGAAAATGTTTCCTAATGTGTTTTAGAATTCATTTGGGGGAATTTTTTTAATATTCTCAATGGAACATTCTCCCTCTCAAAATGGAAATACTAAACATTTGATGTGCCCTTGAAATGGGAATACTGTTCCTAGTATGGGAATACTAATGCCAGATTCCAGTAGATCTACTCTGATCCAAGTAAATTAAACACAGGATCTGGATTTTTGCCTTCAGTCTGTTCCTGTCTTTTCGGACTGAAGCTTGGCCCTTTGGGTTTTTTATTTATATCTAAACACACCCTGCAAGGCCTTTACTAAAGAATCCTTGTTTTTCTTGAAAACTGGTTTACATAAATTTAAAATCTCATATAGAACTAAAATGTCTCCATAGTTTGGGTTTTTTTTTCTCTCTCTTCCAATTTCTGTAACCCCAGAGGTGCACAGAATGGGAGAACTTCTCTCTTTGTCTTTCCAAGGGGAAATGCTTCCAGTCTTGGCAACTGTGTACAGCCCTGGGACAGATAAGTGCTCTTAACTCCCCCCTTCCCATAGTGCAGAGTATTTCCAGTAAACCTTCCCATATTTTCTGGGCACAGGATCCTGTAATATGGAAATATTCAGCATCTCAGTGGTGCCAGTGTGGTGGTGGTCGTCCTCCTCCCATCTCCACACTCCTCCAGGCTGCTCTGTAATCCTGTGGGACAGACTGACTCCTAACTTCTGGTGATGAACCCTCTACCTTCTGCAAGGACTTCACAGCTCTTGCGGCAGTGATGGGACATAGCAGGTGAATGCCTTGCGAAACTGAAGCAGTTACACCTCACTGAGTATAAATCCATATGCTTGGTTTGATTCTTTTAATAAAATAATTATTAAAAAAAAAATCTTCCTGGATTAAACTTTTTAAGAGTAGGCCCTTTATGGGCTAGAGAATATTTAGTACTGATTAGCAGCACGTTTTTCATTGCAGTTTTATTCTGTTTACAGTTGCACTTACTGCTGTCCTGCCAGTTCTTATATTCCGTGCATTCAATTATTTATCATTGTCATTTCAGAAAATAACATTAATTCCTTATATTTGCTCTGTCTCTCTGACTGAGAGACTTGAATACGGATTACCAGGCTGTAGGCAGGCACAGTGCTATTATACTGGGAGCTGAGGCTGCTTTTCCTGTTGTCTGTGTGTTTGTCATGCAGGCACGGGTGCTGGCTGCAAGGATCTCAGCAGGTGGCCAACAGCCACTCGTCTGCTTCAACTGGTGCATGTACAAATCCATCTTCATGTAAACTGTAACCATGTCTGAGGTTCTCTGAATCACAGAATCATTTAGGCTGGAAAAGATCATGGAGCCCAACCATAATCCTAACACTAAACCATGTCCCTAAGTGCCACATATACACATCTATTAAATTCCTCCAGGGATGGGGACTCCACCACTGCCCTGGGCAACCCCTTCCAATGCTTGACAACCCTTTGGTGAAGGAATTTTTCTTAATATCCAATCTAAACCTCCCATGGCAGAAATTAAGGTCATTTCCTCTTGTCCTGTCACTTGTTCCTTGGTTGAACAGACCCACCCCCACCTCTCTACACCCTCCTTTTCTCCAGACTAAACAACCCCAGTTCCCTCAGCCATGAACTCATCACACTTGTGCTCCAGACCCTTCCCCAGCCCGTTGCCCTTCTCTGGACATGCTCCAGATCCTCCATGTCCTTCTTGGAGTGAGGGGCCCAAAACTGAACACAGGACTCAAGGTGCAAACTCACCAGAGGAGGGTTTTTTTCTATTTTTTCTATGACAGAGAACTAAAAGAAAAATTTCAGTGAAATGCAGAGAACCACAACTGCTCTGTGGAGCTGGGTATGTGAACACTGGGCAGTGTCTGGAATATTGCCATTCTGCCTACCCTTGGTCCCAGGTTCATTCCTCAGCGCCGTCTCACAGTCGCTCCTCCCGGGCTGCAGGCTGGTTTCTTTACTTTCTTTTTCTCTTTGCAAGATGTGGGGATGGCCTCAGCTTCCTGAAACAAAGGATGTTGCAGCCATTAAATAGCAATCACTTAAACCTGCTACTTTGTAAGCCAGGATTTTAAAATACATGGCTTTGAGTAACCACAGAATATTGTGTTCAGGCTGAAGCTGAGGGCAGAGCAGTCCCAGGGCACGGGGTGACAGTTGCAGCAGGGTAAGATCCGAAGGCCCCTTGTTTATGGCAGTCACTTGCAGCAGGAGTTTTGAAAACAAACCTGCCTCAATATTTCAGTTGTCTCCAGTCCCAACTAGTAAACTGAAAGCCCAGCTGGAGTTTTTCAGACTGCTGCTGGTAAAAAAAACCTCAACTACAGCCACTCTTCCACCCTAGAAATGGGGCACTCTCTGCTGTAGTTGTCCTAGGTATTTAAACCTGCTAGGGGAGTAGAATGGGTAATGTCTTAAAACTGAGCTGTGGAAGCAGAGAGTGGCTTTTCTTTCAAGGGTGGACACAGGTGACTGGCCTGAGGGTCTCAGATCAGGCACAGGGATACAGTGGAAAGCAAACAGCTGGAGGAGCATCACAGCAGGTATGTGGTGGCAGGGAAGGTGGGCACAGGAAGGCAGGAGAGGTGCAGAAACAATCCTGCAAGGGGGAAGAAATCAGGGATAGGAGGGAGATGGAATCAGAGATAATTAAGGTTGGGAAAGAAGATCATCCAGTCCAACCATCAACAAATCACCACCAAACCATGTCCCTGAGTGCTACATCTACATGTTTCTTGAACACCTGCAGGGTACAAAGAGAAACTGATCCCCTGTCACAGCAGAGACACTGTCAGGACATGACAAAGGCTACTGCTGGCTTCAGTGTCCCCAGCTAAAAGCTGCCAGCACATCTACTCCGGTATTTCCTAGCACCACGCCTGGGAATCTTGGGAAGAACAAACACGCACTAGCAAGGGGGGCAGCAGCCTCTGTCCCACGCACTGGGGGGACACGTGTTCATGCAGCACTCACCGCGGGGAGAGGAGGGGGGATGCGGGTTTTCTCCAGGCTCTCTCTCAGGCGGCTTATCTCCGCACGGCAGTCATCCAGCTGGCTCTCCAGCTTCTCCCGCCTGACCCGCTCATATTCCAGCTGGGCCTCCAGCTCCTTCACAGCCCTGCCAAAAGTAAAGGAGACAAGCAGGGCGGCTGAGGGAACTGGGGTTGTTGAGCCTGGACAAAAGGAGGCTGAGGGGAGACCTTCTGGCTCTGTCCAACTCCCTGAAAGGAGGGTGCAGAGAGGTGGGGGTGGGTCTGTTCAACCAAGGAACAAGTGACAGGACAAGAGGAAATGGCCTCAAGTTGTGCCCAGGGCAGTTGAGATTGGATCTGAGGAAGAATTTCTTTGCTGAAAGGGTTCTGAGGCATTGGAAGGGGTTGCCCAGGGCAGTGGTGGAGTCCCCATCCCTGGAGGGATTGAAGAGTCGTGTAGACACAGCGCTGAGGGACATGGGTTAGTCGGGGACTTGTCAGTGTTGGGTTCATGGTTGGACTTGATGATCTTAAAGGGCTTTTCCAATCGAGGCAATTATTCTGTGATTCTCGGATCCAGTGCAGCCAGACTTGTCCTGCTACTCCACATGGTCCTGTGCGTTTGCTAAGGAACAGGTTCCTCACAGGAGAAGGCAGTGCAGTGCTCTCACACTGTGAGAGGTGTGAGCTGTGCTGGTGTGAGCTGTGGTGCACTCAGGACCACGTGTAACGGCTCTAAACAGCTGATTTTCCTTCTTCACTGTCAGCTGTGCTCAGCGCAGCCTGACCACGAGATGGGGATGTCTTCCCACACACTAGCCCTACTCAGGGCGGGTAGACGGTAATCCAGGCAAAGTAAAAAGTAAATAACAGAGGAAAATCATAAAACCGGGATTCTGGAGGGGTCGAGGCAGATTTTTCGTTTACATCTGCTTTTTCTACATCCTCCCTACTGATTGGCTTAGCCACAGATGAGGAATACTCAAATGACAGCCTGCATGACACTTACTGAAGGGAAACTGAAGCACTGGCTGATAAACAGTTGCACAAGATCTCATGGGTCACACCCACAACAGCTCTGAAATTAACTGAGATTCCTGGAACTGGTTAGCTGAGACATAATTCACATATATTCTCATTATAACAGCCACTGACCTCAGCAACTGAGTCATCTAGAGTTGAGCTGGCTCTCCTCTGTGTGAGGATGAATTAGCACAGCTACAAAGATGTAAGATTGGTAAAAGGAAAAGGGAGACATCTGCCCTGTGGATTCAAACAGCACAGCAGGAAAGCTCTCAGCAAGAGCTACTGCATTTCCTGGACTGAAGTGTTCCTGACTCACCCAGCCCAAAGCTGCCAGGCTGCATCAGCTGCCTGGTAAGACATGGTATGAAAGATAAATCAGTGCTCAGGGGGGACAGGCTGACTTCTTGCACACTTCAGATGAATAAGACACAGCTCCAGAGCTGCGTAGCACACACATGGTGGCAATTTCTTCCATGCACTGCAGCCTGATCAAAGCCCTGTGCAGTGGTTCACACCAGGCCTCTGACAGCCAGAAAATCTGGACTAAGGCAGAAATCATCAAAACCTGCTACAGTGGCCTTCCCAAGTGGTAGCTCCTGCTTTTCATCTAGCAAAATGGTGGTGGTGTTAAATATTTTTAAATAATGAGATTTTCTGGCATATGATACAAGCATCTTGGAGATTATCCATGGGTAGGTACCCTGAGAAGGGCAGGCAGGTACACTGAGAAGTGGTATTTCCATTTCAAAAGGCCAGTGTGGGGCTAGGGATGCTCTCTGGCCACCACAGATGAGAGAGAACCTTCAGAGATCCTCACAATTTTTCTAGTTTAGCTTCATATGCCACAGAAAGGAAAATCCCCTTATCAGAGCTCTCGAATAAGACACCTCTAGCTCTGGAGCAGCTGCTCTATCCCAAATGAACTCTAATTTCTGCCATTAGTCAACAGTGACTTTTCCATCATTGCAAACAGATTGCAATGTAGGCAACAAGATCTGAGCAGGTCACCCTACTCCTTTAAAGCCAGGAGAGACCCTCCTACACATGAATCTCATCCTGAAGTACATGTCTAATTGTGCCCTGAAAGTGTCTACATCCCTCCAAGGAGTCTAAAAAGGAGCTCAAGGTGACTAACTCGGATGCAGATATCTACACTGCAGATATACCAAGTTAAGGAAGACGGACTTTCAACCTGGGCTGAGTCAAAGGGTGATCTGAAACCAAAGAAATCCCAACCTCAGTTTCTTGGCTCATATACAGTTGTAAAAAAACCTACTTAATTCCAATCTGTGACACCTATTACCTGTTCCAGGTCTACACAGACTGGTAAATCTTCTCAATGTTGTACAAGCCCACCAGATACAGAGTCTCTTCTCAGTGACCAAATAAAGACATTGGTTTGGGGTGGCCCAAACACATAACAGATGTGGTTATCTAGAGAGACTGAGGACAGTGGGTAGCCAAACCTTTGACAGGTAAGAGGTGGAGACAGGGCTGTCTTTTGGATGCTGCATTATTGTTTAACCTCCAAACCTTTGATAGACAGAAGGGCTTTTCTTTGAAACTTAGACATTCTGCCCATCAAATGACCTGACCAATCTAACAGAACCCTTTGATTTAATGGGGGCTCTGAGAATCAGACAGGCATTATGAGAAGTGCTTCATGTGCAAGGGCAGGTTTGCTGAGATTTCTTTTTCCTGTGGTCTGGATGAGCTAATGCTTTCTTGAGCATAGAAATATATTGCTCTTGACACAGAAATGTAGCAGGTCATTGAATAATTTCTGCTGTATATGCACTTCCATCCAAGCCATGGTAAGACTAATGCCCTTCTTCAGATCTATTAAAGTGCATACACATATTTGGCATTCACCATGCAAACAAAACAGCCAGGGCCCATCAGATCAGCTGCACATATGATGCAGGAAAACCTGAAGGTAGAACAGATAATCTGGCACAAGCACAAGAAGTGTGGACCTGTCAAAACATTTGTGTTGTGCTGTGGGGCTGATTCTGGTGGTAGAAGTCTAGGAATGGTCAGACACATTGCTAAAGTCCGTTTCTTTTGGGCATCGCTGAAGTTGGTAAGTGGAAAAGACAGAATGACCGAAGCAATCTGAGTGTAAGTTAGCCTTAAAGGTGGCTTTAAAACAGGCCTCACAGAATTTAAACATCAGCAGGGCAAGTTAACCTTACTTCTCAACTTCCCTTTCTTCTTTTTTCATCTTCTTCTCCTCTTCAGTTATTCCTCCCAGCTGTCTGTAGTTGCTGTAGGCAATTTCTAGAAGTTGCTGAAGTTCTTGAATCTTGCGATAGGCCCTTACTGCAAGACAAGAGTTCTCCAGGCAGGTAAAATGCACGGCGAAGACAGTCATGCTGGAATCCAACAGTCTGGAAAAGAGTCTCACAAACACAGAGCAGAAATCACGCTGCTCAGCAAATACTGAGCTACACCTGACACCCACACAGCAAACAGATCTCAAAAACAAGTAGCAATCCAATATGGTTTCACCAACACAGATTAAAACAGCGTAACAATTATGTTCTGATTGCCCTCTGCTATGCTTTCTCGTTTTCCACAATTTGTTTCAACACTCAGTGGTACAGATATTCTGTCAACTATCTCATTTTACAACAAAAAAGTCACAGCAGTTGGCAGAAACTGTGCAACTAGGACTATAATGTCTTGAGACCAGCTTTTTCAAACAAGGAGGGATGGAATGACAGTGCTTACTGCGTGCGTTCCTTTTCTCTTCTTTATCCAGGGTTAAATCTTCTTTGCTATCTGTACTCCCTTCCACGCCATGTCTTTCAAAAAACTGTATGTTGTTTGCATCTAGTTCTTCATCGCTAGAGTTACTGTCTCCAGTTCTTTGTGTCAAAAGTTCCACAGCTGCCAGCTGTGCAAATCTGCAGAGAGAACAGTTAACCTACACTGAAATATCCCCATCGTCTGGGAAAATGCAGCCAGGCTCCCTACATGTCATGGAAACTCTCTGAAACTCTTTGTGTTCCCATTTATGGGAAGAGGGTTCAGGATTAAAGGAAGCACAGGTACACAGCTAATCTGCTTTGTGTAGTATTCTGATAGCAAGAGGTCTGCCTCAATGGAATCTTATGAGAATGATTCCCAACATCAGAGTTATATTTTCCTTTGCAGGATTTCTTAATTGAATCTCATCAGGAAGTGCATTATTTTTATTAATGCAAAAATCAGCTTCTCATTTACTTTGTATAGTTGGAGCATATTTGCTCAGTCAGTTTTCATCTCTTATGTCTGAATTTGCTAAAATAAAAAAATAAATTAAAATAAATTAAGTTAAAATTAAAATTTTTATAACTATAATACAGCTTTGCTTATCACTCAGAACTGGAATTCATGAGCCTGATCTGTTCTTGTTCCATCACTGAAAATCAGGATGAATTCCAACAAAACTAACATGACATTGATACATAAACAGTAAGTGCACAAATGACAGAGCTACAGGATATGCTCTGCTACCTCTTGGCTACATCCTTTGGAGTCTCTCCAGCGTCATTTGTAATGCCACAGTCAGCTCCCATTTCAATCAACCACTGTAGGCAATGGATACGCCCCTGTCCAGCTGCTAAGGGAAGGAAGGTGCACACCAGTCAGTTATATACAACTGAAGTGTTTCAAACATAAAATGTCCCCCTTTTGTCATTATTTGACATGCCAGAGGTTGGGTTCACTTAAGACATCACAGGGGAGATGATACATTTCAAGAGAATCCTATATTTCAAGCTGCTCAAGTCCCATGGGTACATGCAGTTTTAGGGAAGATCATGCAATGTGGTTTTGTGACTCTCTCTAGTTCCAGAAATTTAGGGGCAACTCTGAACACGAGTTGAACTAAACTTGCCCAGTCTCATGTGCAGAGTATTAAACACACAAAGAACTGCTGCCTCACACTCTCCTGCAGTAAGGCCTGTATGTGACAGATGTGCAGCAAAGCACTGTCCCCTCTCTCTGGCTCTGGGCTCCCATATATCAGCCGCAGCTGGTTGTCCCGGTCTGTGGTGTGTGGTGCTGTCTGACGGAGGGGAGAAGCCAGGGCTTTGTGCTGGAGGCACAGGGACATCATTTCTTGGGCCAGACACTCCAGGCAACACTTCTGAGCTGCAGCCTAGCACAACAGCTTTGCACAGGCATGTGATCTGGCGTGGCTACTGCTCATACCACATGGTGCCAGGAACGATGTCTCACATATGGAAGATGGTATTTGACAAGTCTAGCTGAAACCTGCAAGCTGTTCTTCTCGAGGAAGAATAAATTCATTTCTTGACAGCACCCCCTTTGGATGTTTGTCATATTTGTTTTCTTACTGAGATAAGGAAATGAAATTACAATCAGACATAGTATTTCCCCATAACACCAACACTGTATGGAAAGACTGGGCATGAAACAACTGTAGGTGAGCACCATTCCAAGAAAAGAGGGTGGGAACGAATGTAGAAAACACTTTTTGAATCATTACATATCATTTTTTATAATGAGAGCTGTAATTATGTTTTTAAAAAATTCTACCATTTATATCTAATAGAAAAGAAATATGGGAAATAGTGTTAAAAGCACACTCCAAGAATACTGCCCTATTTCTTTCCTCTCCTGTTTCTTCTTTCAGACATTACTGTGAAACCCCCAAACACAAGAGGACCATTTTTCTGTAAGGCTAGCACTCCACTACATATCAAGGTGTCAGATACCAGAAGTTTACCTTCCTTCACAGTGAACTACCAAATGACTTTGTTCTGTTTTTTACAACACATCTCCACAGTACTGATATATTCAGTAAATAAAGGCCCAGGATCATTCTTACACCTAGCTAGCCAATGTTTCTGAAAGTCACATCTTGTCTGACAAAAAAAAATCCTATTTAGTTTTCAGTTTAGATGTAGTTTTCTCTCTAACATAGACTCTTCTTTCTCGACTTCAGCTTGGTTATTTTGTTTTTAAAGTGACACCTACGCACACATACATCACAAAATATGTTTTTCAAGGTTGCCCTTTCGAGCCCTCAGGAAATGAGATGCTGTTTTTCATGAAGTTTATCTGATGAGCAGCCACTTGACAGAGTAAGTAAACAAGTCAGCAACAACCAGTAACAAGCTGAAATGCAGATCATAATTACTGACCTTTGTGCAGGAGAGTGGATCCCTTATCATCCCGCTCATTAATATTGATTACTCCACTTCTCACTAATCTTCTAAGCACTAACAAGTCCCCTTTGAAAGCAGCGTTGTGGGCTGGGAAAGCTAAAACTGAAAAGGAAATGCACATGTTTCTAAAGAGATGCCAGTAATTCCACTGAACATGCTCGTATTTGTCTCCCATGGCTTGACTCTCTCATAGCAACTTACCCACTGGCACTTGGTAGCTGCAGTTACCCAGGTTAATGCACCCTTAATTGGTTAAAATGCAGCTGTATAACTAGCACTGTTCATCACAGACCTGATTAAACATGCCTCAGTTATGGCTACAGGCATCTTATACAGTTAAGAAATTAATTTCATAAACCTGAAATAACAAGTATACCTTTGTTTTACAATTGATGTTGTATTACTGGTAGTAACTGGAGTCATTTGCCTATTTTGAATTTCATAGTCTAATCAAATATATAAACTATTTTACTTCTTCTTGCTTAAAAACTACCCGTACAGACAATTTTATTTTTCCAGTTATTTTTTTTATAGACAGGCAGTACTGAAACATAGAGATATATGTATAATGACAAAAGATTAGCAGATAAGGACAGTAAGTGCCTGGAAAAAGTAGAGGTGAAGGTGCAGTTCTCATATCCTTGCTCTGATGAACATGAGCCGGCAACGTGCACTTGCAGC